ACAGGAGAGTAGACACTAACAGAGATATTTACAGACTATGAAGTAAATACTGTAATATTCACTTTGAAAACACTAATTCTCTATTCACTGTACACTAAAGGATAATGATCAGTTCTTTGAATTTTCCAAACAAATATTTTCTAGGACTTTTGTTTTGTATAGTGTCTTCCATAGATGCTACTGTAAGAAACTGTACCAACTCTCTTACTCATTTAACTACAATTAAAGAGGTGTTTGGTAGTGAAGAGAGAAAATACTGTAGGTATTTGGGAGTGAAGAGATTGTTGATAGTACAAAATGAAACAAAAACCATGATGCAGATTTGGGTTATGCTAGAAAACACAGGAATGCTATTGTGGACTTTAGCAAGAACAGAAGAACTTTTTGTGACTGACCACACATAAAAGGCTCTTACTAATCCTAGAAGTTGCTGTTCCATCTGTATTTGGTAGCTGTCCAAAAAAATTTCTCTAAATTAATTGCCATTAGTTTTCTGTAGAAAAGAGCAGTATTTTTCTTCAGTAGTTCTTCTAAACTTACTTTATGTAGAATTGGATGGTTTCATCCGTTAGAGAAACATGGTTACCCTTCCACATGAGACGTAGCAAGGATTGAAGGTTTCCTAGGAAACATAGAAAATGGAATACACACAAAGTGGATTCATTCAAGCTTTTTAAATTTTTGTTTCATTGAAAGACAGAATATTGCTAAAAAAAAAAGAAACAAATTAACAATTATCAGGATGAGAAACTTAGAAACACACCCAAGAACAATTAAAATACATGAACTCATTAAAACCATTTCCTCTAGCTTGCACAAGCAGACATTCTTTTTATGTTTTATAGGTAAAGATTCATTTCTTACTTTCTTTTTTATTTTAATTAAAATTTGTTAGAAAGCAGAAGGGAATGCAGATCATGCTTTTTAAGAAGCACTACTTCATTTGTAGTTTATGTAAGAAAACAAGGTGTAAAACTTTTTTTGTTTTATACTTAATTTTTTGCCTTTTGGAGGTTTTTTCTTATATTGTGCTGTAATGTTTTTTGATAAATTTGCTGAGTGTACAGTTTAAATTTAGATGATTTCATTTAATGATGCCTGCTAGATTTACTAATTGAAGAAAAATATATTTAGTTGGATTTCTTCCAATTTCAATTATTTCAGCTTATGCCATGCTTTCTATTCTTAAGACATTTTAAAGCATGAAATGCATTTAATGTTAAATGTTCCAGAATTTGATGCCTCATTTCAATACTGCAACTTCAGTACCTTCGTGAGTGCTGTGTAATTCAGTGCAGAGGAGGCTTAGAGTATTGCTTAAAATGCAAATTAGTCATCATGGAGACTTTGACCTCTTCAGGAAGTAAACCTCAGTTCAGGCTTTGCAGTAGCTGTCCTAGGAATGGGTTTGTTCCTCCTTGGGGTACATATCCTTCCTTTCTCACAGATGCTTTCAGAAAGCATCTTTCAGAAAGCATCTTTCTGAAAGATCACAGATCTTTCAGAAAGAGCCTGAATTTGAGCTTCATACCACAAAGTAGTACAGTAAAAAGAAAATCCTTTTTAACTTCTAAAATACTGGTAGTGATTGCAGAAAGCTAAGTTACAGGTTTAAAATAATTCTGCAAATAAATCACAGATAATTTAGAGGGCATTTATGTGATTATATATATATGTAGCAGATGGAAAATTTTACAGGAAAAGGGACTCATCTGACAATATATGAAGCTGTAGTGTGAACAGTGTTGAGCCCTCCTGCAGTCACTGAGTATCTCTGAGGTAAAGATCCTCTTGCAAGTGTCATGTTTAAGAGTTTGGATGATCTACAGTCTTGGATTCTTTTTCTTTCCTACTAGCTCAGGTTTGGAAGATGGACCATTGTTTAGCCTAGTATGTTTCCATCACAGTGATTTTATTTATGTGTGTGTATATAATGTCAATAATTTCTTCTCCTTAACTGAAAAATATACAAAGCAGAATATTTTTTAAAAAGAACGAAAAAGCATACACATTTTAAAATGTGTTAAGAGAAAAAGGATTTGCCAGATCTTCTAAATTCCTGCTGACAGAACTTTCATTTTCAGAAGAGAATGTTGATCTTCTACTTGGAAGTTTTTACTGAGGGTCTTCTCTTGTTATTTTGGAGTGCTGAGCATATTGTTAATGGATACTTAGCAACCTAAACATCAGGCCTTCACTTTATGTAAAGGTTATGGTATTTATTTGTGTAAGTATTATCACAATTTGTATTTGTTGAGGGAATAATACATACAGGTTAGTAAAAAAAAAATAAAATTGAAGTTTGTACAGCTGACATTGGAGGTAAAAATTAACATTTTTTATCCATGCCTTATCTTTTATCAGATTCTTGAAACAGTATTTCTCCCTTAATGATGTACAGCAGATGTTTCAATATATAAAACATAGTTGAATGAGCAAAATAGTTGCATGCTGTTGCTCTCAAAATCAGAATACTAGACCTTTATTGGCAGTGGTGATGTTCTGTTTTGGTTTTAAACAGTTTGCTTAACAATATGCTCTCAACAGCCTGCCTCTAACACAAATAAAGGAGGCTATTTTACATCAGAGTTAAATACAGAGTTTCAGTTTCAAGAGGAAATGCTGTGCGTGTCCCTTGAGGATAATAGACAATCTCTTTTTTTTCTACAAAATTGTGTTATTGGGTTTTTTCCTGTTACATAGGGCAGAAAAACCTAAGCATAATCTGAAATTGTAGAAATTAATATAGAATCACAGAAATTTTGCTAAACATATACAAAGGTTCTGCAATGTACGTATACAACTCCACAATATATTGAGTCACTCACAATGGTGTAACTAAAGAAGAAAATTATTCTTTATCTTGAATATCTTGAAAATTATTCAGATTTACCACAACTTTGGGAAGTAGCCTACTGGTTATAAAGATATGAATTATAGATACTCCCATTGAAAAGACTTAATTTTCAGGCTATCCTTTAAATGCAAAAGTTTTGGGTTTTTTAGGAAGATATTTATAAACTTTTTTTTCTTAAAGAGAAGTGCAGGAACATAACATAGCAGGACTTATTCATTACTAACAGTTCAACTGAATATGATACATACATTGAGAATTGCAATAATTGTCTTCGGCACCATGGTTATGAAGTTGAGTCCAAGATTCCTCTTGCAGCTGTCCTATCCTGTTAAAAGTGAGATAGTAGAATCTGAAGTGTCAAAAAGTAGTAGCTGAAAAAAGTTTTCCATTTACAACAAGAGATTTATTGGGTCATGAAATATGAAGCATCTCCGTTGCTAGCAGAGAACAGCATAGTTTTATATAAACAGCATGTGTAACTGAAGGGAAAAAGATTTGCATGTGAATCTTATTTACATTGTGCAGTGGTATGAGCCCCAAACCTTAATAGTAGAGGGCTAAGAATAACAAGAATATACGGATTATGAGAATTGTTGTTGAGGGAACAACAACAGGGAAATAAAAATTGTATTTTAGACTAAAATTGCGGTTTCTTAATAGCTGCAGACACTGAGGAAGGAAGGTTATCTGCTTCTATAGAGTTACTTTTTCCACCAGTTTCCTGCAATGTACCTGGTTCTAGGTTTGGCTGCAACAGAGCACTAAATTGGGTAGACCTTGGATGGCTTCAACAGCAGCACTGTCTTTATGGCTGATTACATCTTTACCCTGAAATCTCTTTAATATTCAATGAAGTCCATTACATATCATTAGACTGTGCAGTATTCTTTTATCTGTTTTATTTAGAAGCTATGCTGTGTTGTGCTTCATTTCTTCATGAGTCCTGCTTCATTTTATAATACATTTGTGCATTTAAGGCCTTTTATTTTGATTTATTTATTTATTTTTTATTGCTTACATTTCTTCCAGAATTGTTTGTTGACTTCAGGAATAAGACTTCTATCTCTGAGGAAGGGCCATCCATATTTTGTGCTAAAAGTAAAGCTGAATGTTACTGACATTGTTCCAAATTACTCTTGAACAGCAAACTGGTAGCTATATAATACCAGTAATTGAGTGTCCCTTTTAAAGGTTTCTATTAATTTCATTTCCATCAAGTCTTTAAATCTCATCTAATTTCTTTTCAGTGTTGGGTATATCATGAAATCAATCTTTGATTTCTAATAAGCTGGTAGGCTTCTGTGGTATTTATCTTCCTGAAATTTAAAATACTATCTCTAAGTAAGTTCACCTTTTATTTGGAATCCCAGATAGCTGCAGAAAATACCATCTCTCAGTGACTGGTATTGTTTCAATGGTGTGTTTTCTTCATGTACGCAACTTTAGTAGGCAGATGAGGAAAGAAAATCTGTCTAACAAAACAGGGAAATAGAGTGGTGTTACCAGATATAAAACTGAATGCTTAGAAAGAAATAAAATGAGTTTTTGCATGTGATACAGAGACATGGAGCAATGTGTTCCCCAGCATACAGGCACTGTTTATATATGCTGAACTGGGTGTCCTTAGGATAGGTTGTATGACCATACAACAAATAAATATGTGATCAGTCTTGTTATCTGATCTAAAAATGTGGTTTTCAATCCTGATGTATGTTTTTGATGATACTTTACATCAGCTTTTAATGACCCAGTATTGTATGGTACTTGCACTGTATCTTTTTGTTGTTAAGTATGTACATAATGGAAAACAAATGTGAAGTACATTAGTATAATTAAGGAAGGGAGGAAACCCATTGATCGTTATTTGAAACTGATGGTAAATTTAGCTTTACATCATTCCTGCATTGCTTCAGATGATCAGATAGAAATGGAAGGCACTTCAGAGATACTTCTTCCCCTATGCCTTTGGGTTTAGCATTTCTGAAGAACATAGGTAGTACATTTTTGTTATTTTATTCCCTGACTGGGAAAAAAATCAGTGAAGGAGCATGGAAGCAGTGAGAGAGGAAGGAGACATGCTATACATTCCTTAGAATCTGAAAGTATGGTGTTGAAACCACATTTCATTCTTATTTGCTCTTAGGTTTTCAGAAAAAGCGACGACTGAGTGGTTGCAGCTCTTTGAAGGGAGCGGGGTTCCATACGGCCCGATCAACAACATGCAGCAAGTGTTCTCAGATCCTCAGGTTGGTCCTCTCCAAGTCTCTTCCATACATCATTACACATCTTCTGCAAATGCTGAGTAATGATTGCTCCTCCTGCCACCCAGACCTGATTTTGGCTACCTTAAAATGGGACTTGAGAGGTTTTTGATGGATTGAGTTTCAGCCAATAGTATGTCATATTAAGAAATAAAGACAGATCTTTAAATGAATTATATGCTTGGGAACTCAGATTTTGCCACAACAAATTAAACCATAGGTATTCCATGTCTCACATAGAGAGTCTGTATTTCAAAACTGCCTGATAAAACTGCGAAAGAAATCATGATATAGTATATAATTGCGTTTTATCACATAAATAGGCAGAGAAGCACCTTTTTTGAGACCCCAAAAGAACTAATTTTCTGTATGGACTATGGATAACCAAAATAAAATCTGTTTGAAAAAATGGGCAACATTTTGATTGGAAAAAGAAAAATTAAGCACAAAATCCATATAAAGAAAGAATCTTAATCTTTTATTTGCCTGGTTTCAGTAGTTGAAAACAGTTCACCTATGTATCTATTTTAAATGTTAAATATTATACTGGATTACACCTGTGTTTAATTAGAAACAATAGTTTTATATTTTAGTATCTGTAGAGTTATTTTCTCTTCATATTCCCTGATGCCTCCCCTGCTTTTTTACTCTCTGTCTTAGGATGGGTTAAAGGGCCCAAGATAAACTGAATTATACTGTCTTGAGTACTGTAACTGACTATTTTATGGCTTTTCTAGTGTGTGATGACTCTCCTCTAAGCTGATTTTTACCAAAGAGAATAGCAAGAAGAAATGATTTCTTATTGACTCATTTGGTTTATTCTGATTTTGTACATGTCTGTTGTCAGAAGTGTTTGTTGTGACTGTGATTGTTCCATTGGGAAAATAAGAGCAGGCAAAGCAATCCCTGTCATGAAAGAATATGTTTATAATAAATATTTGTTATAAATATTATTATATTTTAGTCATGAAATAATATTTGTTAGGTGACTGTGGGGAAAGAATCTTTTCTTTATTGAATAAATACACTCTTTCTCCTTAGAATGATGTAGTATCGTGCTGTAGTGCATGCATGGGCCAAATTTTTCACTTCATAACTTTCACAAGGATTAAAGTTGAGCTTTGAAGAACATACAGCAAGAGTATTTTACTCAGACTTGGCTCTACTTGGGGCAACATTGGAAAAATATTCTGTGCTTTTTTTTGATGCTGTGAATTTTAAGAAGTTGAGTCTACTCTGAAAGAGACTGTTTTTAAAACATTATATGTCATGGACTGTTACCTCCCGAATTGGAAAGAGGTTATCTTGGCGACCTTGGTCTTGTTAGAATTTGCCTAAATAACATTTTTCGCATATGTATTATTATACTTATATATATATATTATTTTTATGTATATGGCAGGTTATTGCTTAACATAGTTAGCTGACCTATAAAAGGTATCATGGTGATTTGCAGTTAGATATGGCATGTTTTTTTGAAATATTTTCCTGTAAAGGGGCATGCTAATCTCTTCCTCATGAAACTGCTTTAAAGCCTTCTTTTCTACACCCTTCTCTAAAATACATGGCACCTGGACATTGCTATTGGAAATTTAATGCCAATATTTGTGCATAGCTGTATGTTATACCTTTATTTCATTTCTGAAAGAGCATTTTCTCACAGGTATTTTCAGTTTGAAGGAAGCAGGTAAAAAAAAGGCTGACTGGGGAAGATGTTTAGCACCTGAGAGACTCCAATCTAGGTATCCTCTGCACTATGAAATCCCAGGTATAATAGGAGAAAACCAGCATCCATCAACAAGAACATAGTCTAATCACGGCAAGATTTTTCACAGAATCATAAAATATTATGAATTGGAAAGGACCTTTGCAAGGACATCTACTCCAACAGCCCTGAAATCTGCAGGGGTATCTTCAACTAGATCAGGTTGATCAGAAACCCTATCCAGCCCGATCTTGAGTATTTTAAGGGATGGGGCATTTACCACCTATCTGGGCAACCTGTTCCAGTGTTTTCCCACCATCATTGCAAAAAAACTTGAATATAGCTAATTTATATTGACCTTTTTTCAGTTTAGAATCATTAACCCTTGTCCTATCACTACAGGTCCCACTAAAAATTCTTTAGGTCCCCTTTTAAGTACTGGAAGGCCACAAAAGGGACTCCCCAGAGCCTTCTGTTTTCCAGGATGAACATTCCTAGTTCTTCTAGCTTTTCTTCACTGCAGAGGTGCTCCATCCAGCCCTCTGATCAACTTCACTGCACTCTGGACTCCTCCAACTTGCTTCTTCCTATATTGTGGACCCCAGAGCTGGACACAATACTCTAGATGGGATCTTATGAGAGCAGAGTGGAAGGGGAGGATCTCTTTCTTGAGAGGCTGGTCACACTTCCTTTGATGCAGCCTGGGACATATTTTGCTTTCTGGAATGCAAGCAAACATTTCTGGCTCATGTCCAGCCTCTCATCCACCAACTCCCTGTGTTTGTTCTTGGCAGGGCTGCTCTCAATCTTCTCATGCCCCAGCCAGTATTGATCCTGAGGGTTGCTTTGACTCAGGTGTAGAACTTTGGACTTGGCTTTGTTGAACTTTGTGATGTTCCCATGGGCCCATTTCTCAAGCACATGTGAGATGTGCGCTGGATGACATCCCGTCCTCTAGATGTGTCAGCTGCACCACTCAGCTTGGTGTCATCTGCAAACTTCCTGGGGGTGCCCTTGATCCCTTTGTCTGTCATTGATGAAGAAATTAAATAGCTCTGGACCCAGTAAGTGCCCCTGAGGGACACCACTTGTCACCAATGTCATGTCTTACTGAGACATTGACCCATACCCTCTGGATGTGACTATCCAACCAATTCTTTATCCACCTACTCATCAATCCACCCATTTTCTTATGTGTAAACCCAAACCCAGATTTTCACCCAAACTTTGTAATAATTCTTCCCAGTGCTCCCATTATAATGTGGTTTTCTCATACTCAATTCAGATCAGAAATTGCAGTTCTAAGAAAGAACTCAACTTATCGCTCAACTTGCATATGATAACCATGCATACTGATACTGTATGACATGTCAAACTCTTTAATTTTGCATAACACTGTTTGACCATAGCACAGTTATCTGCTTCTCATTGCCATTTGTTTTCAACCATTGTGAAGAGTCCATAAAAACGTCAAACCCTGTACAGTTCAATTTAGCCCAACTCTTATCTAATTCTAATAGATAATACACAGGCTTTGCTAACATCTTCAATTTTGTATGTTACCATCATGATTGTATCTAAATGTTTTATTTACTTCATTTATCGTCATTATCTTCCTCTTTGATCTTTGGATTTTTATATCCATAATAGAAACACCCTTCATTGTAAGTGTAGTCTTGCACTGTTAGTGACCAAGATGCAGTGCATGGATATCAGCTCAGCTGTCAGTGCTCTAGGGTGCTCTAGGCTGGTACCAGATGAAGACAGAAATCCTAGGAGAGGGCTGGAATAATGCAAGGGATGTCAAGAAGCACGTGTGAGGAAGCTGGGGGAAAGACAACTACAGGAGATTATTGAAATGGTCTAATGGAACTCAATTAGCTACAGGCAGGTTGTGTTTTCAAATTTTATTTTAACTAAAAGGACCACAGAGCTCTGAAGGCTGGGAGTGGCTTATATAACTCCTTCTATAAACTGAGATAAAATAACATATTTTTTGATCCCAGGACATTTCACTAATATCATTAACAGCTTCAGTTGTACTCCAAGTGAGCTGCCAAAAAACAGGAAATTTCTTTTTTCAACTTTCAACTAACTTGGAGTGCCAGGTGATACTGTTTTTCCATGAATGGAGTGAAATGTCCACTTTTCCCACTGATTATAATCTTTTATTCATTTGTGAAGTTAAAATGAGTACCACAGGCATTTGTACTGGTAAGTCAATCAGTCGGTGGAGAGACGTATGCGTGTACTAGTGCATATATGGAGAAAACGTCTGAGAGAAGGAGGAGATTGACTAGTTAAGGGAACAAATTTTTTAAAAATGTGAGGGAGAAAGGAATGTTTGTGAAAGTTCCTACAAATGCCTAATAGAACAGTATAGACTATTTTAATGAAAATTTATATAGTGGAACTTTTAAAAACTATTTTTAAAAAATGTGCTCTTTTAACCGGGCCAAGATAGTACAAACATTAATCGAACTCTTAAAACATTTAAAAATCTTATGAGTGACCTCAGTATGGTCCCACTTAACATACCCTGGGGAATATGTGTATGAAATACAATGTGGTTTGAAGCTTTCCAAACAAAACAAACTTAAAAGAGAATACCATTTTTAATAGAAACTATTCAAATTCTCCCAAAAGATAAAACAAAACAAAAACAGGTACGCACTGTACCGCAGCTAAGTATGCAAGACCAAAGATCTTTGCTGGTTAAGTGAGGCGACTGAAGGTGTTTTTTATTTTGTTTTGTTTTTTTTTCTTTAGAACATTACTCTTCCCTTTTTTCCACTGTAATTTCTTTCCACATTCTTTTATACAGTGTTCTTACTTTAATTAAATACTGGCATATACAGGAAGCAACAAAACAACCCATAAGAAATGGGCAGTTTAGTAAATTGTAATCTGGTGGTTTACTATATTAAATCCATTCACGTTGATGAGTTTTACTATATCAATGTTGTCAGCTGAAAATAAAAGGAAAGCCATGCAGTGGCACTTCCCCCATGCCCCTCCCAACAGTTACAGTCATACCACACAAGTTGAGTACATCAGGTGTAAGACATCATCCTGATGTATCACTTCTGAGAAATATGGGGAGGGAAATATCGGAGCTGAAATATCACAGCTGGCCCTGATTTCAGCTCCTGCCAAACACCTGCAGACTCGAAAAGGATACCATAACAAAACTCCACCCTGTGGCAAGAGGCCATCCCTTAACAACCCTTCCCTGACTTTGAATCACTATAAAAATTAATTTAACATTTTTTACTGAAAC